AGGAAAAGCATCAAGAAAGTTCTTGGCATTCCTATGCGCACAAGCACTGAGAACTTTATGAAACTTGGAGTCCACAACACGCTTGAAGAAGTTATCGAGGCTCAACAAACGGCACAGGTTGCCAGGCTTTCGATCCCACCAGCGGGGAGAAAGATTCTGATTGACACTGGAGTCAACCCCCTGACGCTCGAAGTGCAAAATACGCCACTCGATGATTATATACGCTCTCGCATCAAAGTATGCCCCCTTCCATGAAATATGCATCCACAGTACAACGCGGGCAGGCGTGTCGCTCGAGCCTCCTCTCTTTTAGCTCAAGCTCACAAACAATCGTCTGTTTCATATTGTGTTGATGCCGCCCAGTATGGCGTTTTCGCTCGCTTTGCGGTAGTATCCGTAGATACTAAGGGTCAGATCTTATCCTCGGCGTCGGTCCGAACCCCTTCTTCTTACAAAGCAGAACAGATGGCCATTGCACTAGCACTCCTTGATCCACAAAGGACTGATATTTATACGGACTTTGAATGCGCTGCTAGGGCCTTCGCTTCTGGTTCCGTTTGCAAGGAAGTTTTGAGAATTCTCGCTCACAAGGAACTCACCCACCACACAATTACCGTAATTTTTCGAATCTAATGCGCACCTTTTTTCCGGTTAAGCGAGTTCATAAATCGCATGCGCGTTGGAATCGAGTACGAACAAAAAAATTACGGTCAATCTATTGCCATCGGCAAATCCAAAATGGCCGCCCCCTACGTGCGTCGGCATGGCGCATCGGCCATTTCTGCCTATGTGTTTCCCATGTGCGGCACTTCGTATGTGTGCTGAGGAGTTCGTCATCTAGTAGTGCATTAGCATCGACGGCGTGGAAGGGCCGACTCCAAAAACTCGAGTGCACCACGATGCCGCTTTTAAAAGAAAATTCATTGTGTGTGCAGAAATGGATGGAAATCGGGCCGCATCACGGTCGTTCGGAGTTCCCGAAACGTGCGTGCGGGACCGGCGGAAACAAAAGCAGAAGATTGTCGACAGCAAAGCTTCACGCAAAGGCTTCAGTGGACCACAGCAGGGTCTGTTTCTGCAAATTAAAGAGCTGCTCGGCGAGTATGTGCTAGAGCAGCGAGCGGCACAGTGGCCCGTGACGACAGAACTGCTCCAAGTGCGGGCTATGCAATTAGTCTTAGAAAACGGTCTAACGCGGAGCCAGTTTAAAGCGAGCAGGTGCTGGCTAACTAACTTTATGAAGAGGAAAGGCTTTTTCCTCCGAAGGGGAACATGCATATGCGAAAAGTTTTGCGGCGCAACAACGGTTACCTGCTTGGGCAAATTGGGAATGCCGATCAGACGCCTCTTTACTTCGACATGCCTGGCACCACAACCGTCAAGAAGAAGGGGGTGAAGCAAGTTCGCATGCTGACATTGGTCCACGGTAAAACTACAGTGACGGCAATGCTCTGTTACACGTCAGATGGGCACAAGCTTCGGCCGTACCTCATATTTAAATGGAAGACGCTCCCGAAAGGAGTCGTTTTTTCGAGTGGTGTGATCGTGCGGGCCAGCGAGAAAAATGGGTACGCGTTGCAATCGATGTCTTAAGGTTTTTTTTTTTTTTCGCGGTGGAAATCGGGTGCGCGTTACAATCGAGGGCGCGGTAGAATCGAGTAAATACGGTATTTGGTTCCCTGCTCACCTTGGCTTAAGGGTTGGAAGCCTTCCCAATGTCAACGAGCTAGCCCACTCCAAGGCGCGAGGCTTCACTTACCACGCCGGGACTTGTGCTTCTCAGACAGAGGAGTCAGCCAGCAGCCTTCATTTTAGGGACATTTTGACTACCTTCAACGAGATCACGAAGCATTATCAATTAGGCCGTAGGTCATTTCCATTGCCACACGAAAAGTTGTCTAGGCCACAGGCAATCTCTCTTCGCATGCTTCAGGCGGGAACATACCCTAGCCTCGTAACCTATAGCCATTACTCCGATATTTCAGAACTTTGTCCAGACTGCCAGAATCGCAGTGATTTTAACCACATGCTCTGGAGGTGCCCCTCTTTACAAAGAAAAAATGAAAAATTTTTTGAGAACTCCTTTAATTTAATGCTCACGAGTCCGGTTCTCATACAACAACTCAAGGCTGTCCAGAAGGCCCACGATGCGGCGGTGAGGCTGGGCCTCCCCGTCCCAACGTGGGAGCGGCCCGCGATCCTACCCCTATAAAACGGGGGTGGAATCCTTCAGGACCCCAATAAAAGTTTTTCATCCATCCATCCACAGCTACCTTCTGAAGAAATAAAGTTTACCATCAATCCCATTATTAGGCACGCGGAAGGACAAATCTTGGTGGCTTTCCACTGCAGTCACCAGTAGGGAACACGAAACTCTTCTACTCTGAAGGGCCTATTGGCGGCCCCGTTGCCATTGTTTAGTGCATGATAAACCACTTTCAACTTGAAAGCAGCCGTGTAGCTTTTGTATCTCCCCATAACCTAACAACATTACAGACACAACATACAAATCACGCCGCATTGTTCACTAGCCAGTTTGGCGTGGATTGGATTGAATTTCGGTGCAATAATAGTATGCTCGATGCTTAGGAGATGGCGCCGGACGGCACACACTATCATCACCAGTGGCTTGAACGAGCAGACGACATTATTGTGGCAAATTTCAGGGGTGCAAAAATTATGAGAGGGCGAGGATTATGAGAGTAAATACGGTACTCCTTCTGTACGACTGAAACCGCCCTAGCCAGCTATGCTGTGCAGTGGACTGCCCAAGCTTGGGTCGGCATTTCCAGGGCTATTTTTAGTTGTGCCTTCAAGAAGTGATCGATTTCAAAGGCCTTTGATGGCACTTGATGGAAGATGTCTCTGAGGAGGGAGCCTTGAAATAAAGTGCGTCAGACGACGATCAAAAAGCATGTGAATACACCTAAACCTCATTAAAACAATGTCACATCTGCCACAGAAATACTTTGTTATACCAAAAACTCATTATACATAAGCATATATCCTAAACACTGCATCTGCCACAAGCTAATTTCATTTACTTAACTATTCGTTCAAATATACAAAGCGTTCGAATATTCGCACAAGCCTACTTATGCTCGATGCACTTCAATGTCACTTCCGTAAAGTGACAGCAGTGTCACTTCCACGCTGAGCTCGTCGTCACACCGGGAAGAAATCCCAATTGAAGCCGCTTGATGTGTGCCTAAATAAACCATTTTCAAGTGCATGCATATGGAGTGGATAAGGACTGCGGAGCTGAAAGTTACCGTATTTAATGGCATAATCCTCGCACTTTTTTTTGGCGGAAAACCGATGCTAAGTCGGGGGGGGGGGGGGGGGCGAGAATTACGCGGGGAAAACTTTCCATGAAAACGTACAAAGCGAAAAAGAAAACGAAGTGGCCGCAAGTCGGGATTCTCACGCCAGAACAATAAAAGCACAGGTTCAACAGAAGACAAGATTTATTTGAGACACAAAAGGCTCAATCAAATAGTCGAGAATTAGAATACCGTACGCAAAGCTTGTGGGCGTTGGTCGCAGTAGCGTTTGTCGCTCAACAGGAGTCCGCAAAAGGCAAGCGAAGGAAGTCAGTATTGGGCTGACGGCCATTTAACAGAATCGTCCTCAGTTACCTTCTGAAGAAATAAAGTTTACCATCAATCCCATTATTAGGCACGCGGAAGGACTCATCATGGTGGCTTTCCGCTGCAGTCACCAGTAGGGAACACGAAACTCTTCTACTCCGAAGGGCCTATTGGCGGCCCCATTGCCGTTGTTTAGTGCATGATAAATCACTTTCAACTTGAAAGCAGCCGTGTAGCTTTTGTATCTCCCCATAACCTAACAACATTACAGACACAACATACAAATCACGCCGCATTGTTCACTTGCCAGTTTGGCTTGGATTGGATTGAATTTCGGTGCAATAATAGTATGCTCGATGCTTAGGAGATGGCGCCGGACAGCACACGTGAAGGAGCAGACGACATTATTGCGGCAAATTTCAGGGGTGCAAAAATTATGCGAGGGCGAGGATTATGAGAGTAAATACGGTACTCCTTCTGTACGACTGAAACCGCCCTAGCCAGCTATGCTGTGCAGTGGACTGCCCAAGCTTGGGTCGGCATTTCCAGGGCTCTTTTTAGTTGTGCCTTCAAGAAGTGATCGATTTCAAAGGCCTTTGATGGCACTTGATGGAAGATGTCTCTAAGGAGGTAGCCATGAAATAAAGTGCGTCAGACGACGATCAAAAACCATGTGAATACACCTAAACCTCATTAAAACAATGTCACATCTGCCACAAAAATACTTTGTTATATCCAAAAACTCATTATACATAAACATATATCCTAAACACTGCATCTGCCACAAAGCTAATTTCATTTACTTTCGGTATAACCGATAATTTGTTATATCTAGGTTCATCATTTTGAAGTTTGAGTGTAAATGTATTCGGCTTCCATTTTTCTCTAGCTATACTAGGGTGAAAACTTTTTTCTCATGTTTGCTATCTCCAGCTCAAACTATATGTAAGTCTGGACTATACGCGGGTTTAACGGTACTTGTCGATAACTTTTCTTGGCAGTAATGTGGAATCTACAGCACCAAAATGCTTTCCTACGCGCATGCCACGAAATTGTAGTACAAATATTTATTTTTCAGTTTTCATAGTTACCTAGCTCAAATACACACAACTTACTTCATTATAAAACTAAAACAAGCATAGAATGCCATTCAATAAAAATATTAGTGCACACAATATTAGTATTATTTTTTTTTTTTTTTCATTTCTCAGACCAGCACCACGTTTTCAGCACTGTTCTCACCCTAAACATGGATGTCCCCAATGCTGCCTGCCCCTAAACACGGTGTCCCCAAGCCGCAGACAAGCCGTTTCATTATCGGAGAAAGCCCTCGCACTGCTGCCAAGATCAGTTGTCGCCGGTTGTATATAGTACTGTTACCCAGTAGTGACGTGCTGGCTAGCTTTATACCTCATGGGAGGCAGTGGCATCACGGCAGAGCAGCTGTCGCAAAGGCTGGCCACACAGCTGCACCAGGTGAGCCAAGGCAGCCCTCTCGCCGCTGCCACTCCGCCAGCCCAGGAGGAGGTTCTGCAGTGCCGCATACAGGTGTGCACGCAGTCGTTGCTGCCCGCTGCCGGACACAATCAGGCTCTGTAGCAGGGACCGGGTTAGCTCCAGCACAGATGTGGGTGACACCTGTAAGGTACAGGAAACACCCCAGACAACCATTCATTGACTCTAATGTTAAACAACAAGCTTATTTCATTTCATGCGGCTGGTGTAAAAAAAAAAGGCAGAAGTTCTGGGAACGATGGAATGGTTGACAAGATGCCGAAGTCTAGACACACTGAAGCCAACGGTGTCGACAAACCACCTTGCCCTTTTCAAGGCTAAAACTGCCTACTTTAGCGTGTGTACACATTCGAAAGTAGGTGCTTGCAGCCTTGAAAATGACAAGACGGCTTGTCGGAACATTACCGCCTGTGAAACCCTGTGTTTAAGAATGTTACATGCGGCTGATACGACAGTGCGCCCAATAATTCTTTTTTTTTATAATCTCCCCATTTCAAGCAGCATGCCCGCAGCTTTGAAGAGAGACACAGCACAGAGGCAAAACACTGACTGCTGCCACCAGAATAAGTTGAACAAAATGTTGCTTTCTTCAGTGCTCACCCTTGCGTTTCAAATTTTACTATGGAGTGCATCACTAGGTATTCGGTGGTAAATGGACCAGCACTCGCAAAGTGTGGTCACTAGGCTTGTGCGAATGGTTGATTCTAGGTTCAAGGCGAATTCGAATTAAATAGTGATTGTGGTCGAATAACATTATATCGAATTCGAATAGCATATATATCACATATGATAAAAAAAAGGGCATATTTATCATGCTCAAACTAACCTGCACAATAATTATTTTTTTAATTGGGACAAGACCTGTGCAAATGCCGTTTTTTTTTTACCAAATGAAGTGGAAACAACTTTAAATAGTAGCAGGATTTGACATTCGGCAGAATGCAAGCGATAGCATGTGAAATATGTCATGCTATAAAATATACTATTCTTAGAGCATATAAGCCGACAGAACGAAAAATTTTAACTTAAAAAAATTTGAAAATGATGAATGGATGTGAAGGTAATATGTTCATTTAACCTTCAAATGAGGCTTCGTGGCAGTGTGGATTTTTTCTAGGATATGTGTTTTCACGGCTGAGCACTACTTCACTGCAATGAAAGCAAATATACACTTGACTATGTGCCTTCACGGCTTAGCACCCCTCTCCTGCAGTGAAACCACCTTACAAAGTTTTACATACGGACTAATATGCACCTATTTGTTCGTCTCCAATAATTCAAAATTTTCAAAAATTTAAATTCGATTCGAAGCGAATTCAAATACTGCATCATTCAGTTAAACATTTGAAGCATTCGAATATTGGCACAAACCTAGTGGTCATAATACAGTCAATAGCTGATCTTTTTAACAAGCTTCAAAGTTTGGAAGCTTCCGTGGCATCAGCACAAGTGCCATTGACGTAGATGTGAATGGTTTCTACGGGGAATGACAGGGCTGAACTTTTTTAGAAAACATGTATTGGCAAGACAGGCACATGGTCTTGCTAGTTTTCAAAATATGCCCATTCTAAATCAACACAGCGTTTCCAACAACTCTGTCAATCATGAAAGGCTGCCTGGGACACAAAAACTGGAAGACTCTTCAGTTCCCTCATTATGGCCTTTGCAATGGCCTGGACCGTGCTGTGATGCTGTCCTCCTTTAATGACCCTTTTCAGTGAGAGGAAGAAGCTTGAACTAGTCATTCTGCCATGTGTTTGTTAGGAAGTACATCACAGCAAAGGTGGTGCGGCTCAGTGCATTGTCAGCCTGCCAACCATTGCTCGTCATCAACTTGGCTCTTTTCCATCCCATAACAATTTGTTCCACTCGGAAACACTTGATCGGCCTGTCGCATCACTACCATAAGCAGCCTTGATCATGTCATCGGTGTCGCAGTTTTATCCAGTTTGACCAAGCACTTCACCATGCAACATTTCTATAACAAACGATACATTGTCGAGATGACAAGGCACCCATAGCTACGCACAGTGGTCAGCACAGGCGGATGCGCTCAGGCGGGCCTGCAGTGATGCTGACCAAGTGGCTGAAACTAGCATTAGCCACACTGTGCAGATGAATTGTGGGGAGCTTTGAGCATCATCTTTTAGAATGTGCAACATTTCGAATGCCCTCAATGGCATAGATAATTACTTCTGGGATGACTCGCCGGACAAACAAATGTACAAAGAAAGCGTGGTTGAAGATGACAACAAACGAAGGGGTGGGTCCAATTTTAATACTGAATGCCTCCTCCGAGCTTTCCTTTTTTTGTATGACATGTAACTTTTTGTTCCCTTTTATTACTATTTTTTTTCCATCTCTGAAGTTTGACCTCGTATTATACAGCAGATTCTCAGTAAACACAAACCTCTTGAACGAAAATGCTGCTTAAAGGGACCCTAAGTAGGTCGACTATCAAGTTGACGTTGATTGTTGAAATAGCGGTCCAGAAACCTCGTAGTGTTACTCTTGTGCCAAGGAAGGGCCTATTTTGAAATAAAATCACGTTTTAGTGGTCCGATTCAGGTTAGTGCACTTCAAATTACCTGCCTCAAGAAGCCGACTGACCGGACCGACTCACATCACTGTCGCCATGCACAACGTTGCCTGGCTTTATTGCGCTAGTAGCAGAAGACCGAAAGCAGCGGAAGCCACAGCAGCAACAACGACCATTGATCGATTTCCCGTCATTGGCTTCAAGAATGCAGACTTTTTTTTAGTTCAACTGTGCCCCGCTAGATGGCACCACCTGTGCAGTGTAACTACACAAAAATTGAATTTTTGAACCACTTGCATCATTCCCCATAGTAACGTTCGGCGGTTCTTTTTCCATGAATCAAACAGAAACAAACATGCAGCCTTTTATTGCGTACAGTCGAGCCCCACTATATCGAACCCGTTTATATAAAATTATCCCGTATATCGAACAATTCCTAAACACGGTAAGTTTACATTGAGAATATATAGCAAAAGTTACTGTTTTATCAAACGAAAATAGCAACGACAACTGATATATCAAACTCCATGTGCCGCAAAAGTGCCTTGGCAAGTTGGCTTTCCCTCGCGGTGGCAGGGAAAACTGCCGGCGCCACCCTAGAAAAAGTTGCTTAGACCCGGATGTGCGCGGGTGAACACCCCCCTCCAAGAAATGATCCTGGCTTGCACGCAGCGCTTACAGCCAATCAGAGGCCATCGTGCTTTCTCCGAGGCGCGGAGGCGGTAGAAGTGAGCGCCATTTTTTCTTTCTTTATGCTTGTGTGCCTGCTGTTGCCGATTCAGCGTGGTCTGTGGTGTTGCCTGTTGGTGCTCTGTGAACTGTATTGGCGAGCTGTCATCATGGCTTGCGCAAAGAGGCAAAATTTGCCGTTCGCCACGAAACTCAAAATCATCAATCGGGTTGAGCGTGGTGAAAAGAAGTCCGACGTCGCCGCCGCGTACAAAATTCCAAGGAGCATCTTGAGTACTATCCTGAAGAACAAGGCAGACATCAGGGCAAGTCGGACAAAAGGCCAGGTGCCCGTGGCGCCCGACGTGTGCGAGCTGCTGTGTACGAAGATGTTGAAGCGGCCGTTTACAAGTGGTTTGTGAATGTTCGGTCGCGAAACATCCCAGTGTCCGACCCTATGATTGAGCAGAAAGCCAAGGACCTTGCTTTTCTGCTTGACAGGAATGATCTCCAAGGCGGTTCAGGCTGGCTTCAGCGGTTCAAAGAACGGCACGACATCGTTGGCAAAGCTGTTACAGGTGAAAGCAGAGCGGCGGACCTGGACAGCGTTGAAAAATGGCTCGAGAAAAACTGGCGAGATATCGCAGCAAGATATAGCCCAAGATATCTTCAATGCGGATGAAACCACTCTATTTTGGCAAATGTTGCCAAACAAGACACTTCCGTGTCGTGGCGACAAGACAAGCAGTGGCAAGGCAAACAAAGCTCGTGTGTCCGTGCTGTTGGCAGCTAATTTAGACGGATCGAAAAAGCTTCGACCTCTGGTTATCGGTAAAAGCACGGCACCGCGGCGTTTTCGAAATGCGCTGTCGCTTCCAGTTACCTACCGAGCAAACTCAAAAGCGTGGATGACCGGGGAACTTTTCAGCAGATGGCTATCGTCGTGGAATGATAATTTGGTAGGCGAAAATCGCAAGGTGTGCCTGCTCATGGACAATTGTTCATTGCACCACTGCAGTACGACCTTCAGCAACATCGAGCTGCGTTTTTTGCCCCCGAACACTACGTCTGTACTGCAACCACTGGATCAAGGCGTTATACGCGCAATAAAAGCCGGCTATCGGAAGCGCCTGGTGGAGATGCTGCTGCAGAACTTTCGTGTCGGCAGGGAGCTTAAGGTCGACTTGCTCGGAGCTATTTCTATGTTGAGTAGATCGTGGGCAGATGTCAACAAGGAGACGATCCAGAACTGCTTTAGGCATGCCGGCTTCCGCATGCCTGGTTATGGCACCCCAAATTCTGACAGCACTGAAGACACCGCAGGTGTTTCCGCCGAAGTTTGGAATGAGCTGGCAGAGTTCCCGGGTGCTATCGACGGATCGACATACGACGAGTTTGTCAGTGTGGACAATGATGTCCCCATTATGGGCCTATTACAGTATGAGGATTACATTCATCGTGAACTTACTTACAGCGCAACACCAGAAAAAATACAGGACAGGGAAGGAGCAAAAGAGAAAGAAAAGACGGCGCTGACTCACAACTGTTGTTTATTGGAAGAAACGGGGTGAAAAGTATATGTATATATATAGGTACTGGCAGCCTACATCACAACATGCGCAGAATACGAGGTGCACCGAGGTAGCGTTACCACACTCATGGCAATAAACAAGATTGGCCTAAATAACTTAATTCTTTTTCATGCAGTGTGACGGATGGTTCACTAACGCACTTGCTACCCCTAATCTTTATATGATATGCCTCAGTGATTTCTCTTGTTAACTGGTTAGGATGCTTGAAGGTGATGGTGGTTCTCTCAAAAATGGGACGACAACCACATGACCTGCAATATTCCGGCAGATGAAGTCGCGCGATTCCTTGAAGAGATAACTCATGCTCCCTTAAACAAACATTCACACATCGTTTCGTTTGTGCCACGTACTCCCTACCACATGATAATGGAGTTAAATACACAGCTTTTTTTACCCATGCGATGTACTTGTTCTTATGATTCACAGCGCATCTCCGTTTCGCTTGTTTGTTTCTCAGCGCATTATCAACCATCGGGCAAATGCCCGATGGTTTTGCTCCTTCTCTGTCCTGTATTTTTTCTGGTGTTGCGCTGTAAGTAAGTTCACGATGGATACTAACCAACTGGCCTAACTTACCATCTTACTGAGGATTACATTGCAGACATCGTGCCGACCACGAGCCAAAGCGACAGCAATATGGAAATCGACGACTGCCCATTGCCTACATCCTCCGAAGTGATTAGTGCACTTGCGTTGGTCCAGCGTTACTGGTTGAATGTGAAAGGTTGCGGCCTCAGCTGGACAACGTGGAGGCGTTGGACAACGTGGAGGCGTGTGTGCTGTCGCAGGCAGCGAAGTCGTTGACACAGAAAAAAATCCGGGACTATTTTGTTCCACAGTAGGGCATGCAAGTAAGCCACCATATTAATAAAGTACTTTTCTTCTAGTTTGTTATGTGCCTTTGTGTCAAAACCTATACCGGGCCTATATCGAATTATGCCATATATCGAACTAATAAACGTTTTTTGGCGAGTTCGGTATACCCGAGTTCGACAGTATCTTGATGCATGGAAGGTTCTTTATTTAGTGCAGCTAGATCGATTACTAGTGATTAATTGTAGGCGGTCCGTCTGATGTCATCGGGATCATTTTGAAAATGTCCTACTGCGACGCATGTGTTCTTGGGCATTTACCTTAATTTCTTGGTAAGTACGGCACTGTTGTTGATAATATTGTCTGTTTAGATGTTGTCATACATTGAGCTCTCACTCTGACGTAAATTATTTGATGTTAGTGTCCCTTTAAAAGGAACAAATGCTTTTAATATACAGTAGACTCTCAGTAAACAGAAATCTGTTGAACGAAACTACCGCTTAAATGGAACTATTGCCTCTGCAATGCTTGTTTTTGGGCTTCCATTCTGCACCCATGCTCACCCTTCAGTAAAACGAAACTCTTCTTGAATGGAACATATCTTCCCGGCTCCTTCACGCTCCGTTTACTGAGAGTCTACTGTAACTGCTTTCCTATTAAAAGTCTGTGACGCCGTTTATCTCCCAGTAAATGAAACTCCTAATAAACGGAACATATATTTTCAACCTCATCCCTTCTGGTTCCATATAACTGAAGTCTACTGTACTCGAGTTCTTAGTATACGTCGACTTTTATGGTAACTTAAAGCCCGAGGTGGCAATGCTCATATGTCTTAAATCAAATTAAAAAAGTGAACTAGAAGAGGTGACATTACATCCGCCGGAAATAGGCATGCGAAAAATGCCAGCCATTTACCACATCTGTCAACCCACTGAGCTCCCCCTACCAATCCTGGAACTACTATGAACAGCACCTGCAGCGAACAATGCTCCCGGTGGGGGTAAAGAATTACCGCTTTTGTGGAGGGGGAAGGTGGGATGAAAGGAGAGGTGGAGAAGAGGAAGACAGTAACATGTGCTCCCTGAATTTTACGTCATGGCTCGAGCTTGCGGGCAGTCGTCGTGCGCTGACAATCCACCAAAAAATACAGCCAACTGTTCAAAAATACGTGAAATAAACTTTGTTTACTGAATTTTGGGTAAAATTTTGTTTACTGAATTTTGGGGGTAGAATTTTGATGTTTTGATGAGTATTTTCTATTCTTGTGCAGTACCCGTTTAATTGTATTCAATTATAAACTCCCTTTTGTGCTTGAGACACCCTGCAATGCAACCTACCTGATCGGCGGCAGTGTTGCTTCGCTGGCGCAGAGCGGCCACAATGAGTAGCAGCAGTTCAGCTGCAGGTCCCTGCTCGCTCACTGTTCGTGACGATGACAGGAGCTCGTGTGCAAGCTCCAGCAGCAGCTGGGCATCCAGCTGTGATGCCCAGCACACAACCAGCACAGAGGCCAGTTGTTGCCAAGCGGTGAATGCCTGCCGGGACACGTAGGCCCGCTCGTGCTCCGCGTTGCGCTCCAGTGCGGTTTGCAACACAGCTTTCACCTACAAAGTAATTCAAAAGATCAGCTTCCGCACACACTGTAACAGTCACACTCCTAACCAGTGCCACCTTTTTTTTTCTTATTTGTTGCGAAGTTTACATGCCTAAATGAAAACATGATTGTAAGACACTGTACGGGGCAACTTTAGACCTATTTGACCTATTTATTGTACCTTGCATTTCTAACATGGACCTATAAATTTAACATTTTGAAATTTCATCCGCGAAAATGCCGTTCTAACGTGGCTAGAAAATTGAACCGAATTTTTATTTACTTTTGTCAATCAACAAAAATAAAAGCGAAAGGCAACATAGGCAAAGGTTGCATAGCCTGTATGTTGCTCCAAAATGAAGTTTGGCACAAAGACATGACACTAATTTGCATGCAGTACAGTTGAACTTGAAGGCACTACTAATGATCGCATGTATAACAACCTAGCAGTTATAACTGATATTTTGGCACACTTATGATTTTTTATGCTACCTATAGAAACTTCATCCAAACATAGTGAATATTTTTCAAAATTCGTAATTTTACAATGAACCTTTCCGATGCAGTCGCAGTAACTATATGACACTAACAAAGCAAATACAAAGTTAAAGCAGGCATTTCAACTCATGAGAAAGGCATGCACATGGGAGTGCTCTGCTGCAGTGTACTTGCAACGAAAACATAAACCACGGCGAGGATTTTGGACACTGAGTGATGTTGCTCACTTTTATGGCGTTTCTTCAGAGACAGAATGGCGGTGAGGAAAAAAAAAAAGAAGATAACATGAAGACTTTTAGTCAGCTTACACGTGACAACCTCATCTGAAGCTACAACCACATCTAGAACCGGCTATGACGAACTAAACAATGCCTTGGAACTCAAGAATCTACAAATGCAAGAAGCGGTAACTTTCTGTCGCATACAAGTTCCCTGTGATCCTAAATTCATTGATACCACAATGCGGCGCAAGAGGTCTTCTGTCTTTGGGTAACGGCAGAACCAGTTGATCAATAATATATTGTGACTTTTTCTATAATTTCTGCGACGCCTTCATAGATAAGAATCAAAAGAAAAGAGAAGGTAAGGCGGCAGCTGGGGATGAACGTGCCATTATGACGAAATGCCGACAGCCTTATCACAGTTATCTACAGCTATGGGCTCTACGTCTCGTGTGGCATATGCTATGTTGACTGACGGCGGTACAAGCATGCTATGCTGCCATTCACTAGTTCGAAGCCACCGCGTCATGCGAGACGATTTGCATGTTGTGGGCAAACTGCTCATCTGCATCGTGTTGAATGATTGGGCTACTCGCTTCACCCATGTGCGGTTCGGAGTGAAGCATGCACGAAGAACACACAAACACGCACATAGGTTAGAGAGCATACAGCCCGGCACTGACTGCCTGAGTGAAGTAGGTGACATGCTGCATGCAACTAGCCAGCAATGATTGGTTCCATGTGGCGGTATAGTGCTTCAGTGAAAAGATGCCGGTTCATGATAAAAGCAGCTCAATTTACTCGTGAGAATGCAATGGGCTTGACACACGAAAAGGACCAACTTGTCACCAAAGGGGTTGGGTTGTTAACAATATTGATTAAAAGTCTGCAGAAAAAAAACTGACTTGGTTGCTAAGGGCACATTTTTAAAGGAGTACTGACACCTTTTTTTCAAGGCGAGTTTTTTCTACCATAAAAATCTCCTGTATACTGAGATCGCTCTCAGGAAGTGTGAACCTCAGCAAATGCAGATAAAATATTTTATTTTGATGTTAAAGTGAAACTTTTCTTGGCGATCCTATTGACATCAACACTAGCTTGATGTCAGCCTACAGTGCTAATTTCGGTGACTTCACGCAGCAGTCTTGCAAGTTGGGATGACATCAGGCACCAAAAAACAACAAATGGCAGCCTGGCTGCGCGTCGCCTTCTCGGTTGTCTGCTCGCGGCTTGCGGTCGCTATCATTCAGCGAACCTATGAGGCGAGCGAGCAGAGTCTAGGGTATTGTGCGCCCTCGTGAGTACAGAATATACATTGCTCAGAGGGCAAGGGAGTGATTTGATTTTAATCTGTCGCCATGACACCGATATTTTGCCCTGTGAAGTCTTGCGCTAGTGAAACGGGGGATAGGTGCAAGTTCCATCGACTTCCGTCCGATCCGGCGCTGAGACAGGATGGGTCGACTTCGTGCGCCGTGGCCAAAGCGGAGACTGGACGCTGACCAAGCAGAGTTAGCTCTGTTCACTCCACTTTATTGCAGACGCGTACACGTACAGCATGCTGTTGATGACCGATTTCAAATTGTCAACAAAGATCTGCACCTCAGAAGTGATGCCGTCCCAACGTGTCACCCTGGGCAACAACTTGAAGCTTGTTGGCGATCCTGAGGTGCCTGCTCCAACGGAGGTCCCTACAGATGACAACTGAGCCGCAGGCACCCGGGGATACGTCACGATAACTTGCGCATGCACATACCAATGCTTGGGGGCGCTGCTCACACCACGTTGTGATGTCAGGGTACAGTATAAACCGAAACTAGCTTTTAAAAACACCTTGTAAATCATTTTTCAAGACGCAGTCAAACTAACCAGTACATTTTCTAGGATCTTAGGGCCTTGGCCCACCATTTGACTCAAGAAAAAACGATAACCGAAAAATTGTGTGTCAGTACTCCTTTAAAGACGAGCCCCTATACAATGAACTAGTACTGATATAATTCATTTATATACAGATACTGCTGTCTTATGTTTGAGACATTTCAGGAGTGGCTACAATAAATTAACAAAACAAAAAATACAGCAAATAATGACGATGCTTTGCAGCACAAGTTCATTATAAATCTGTCAAACTGTAGTGCATGTGCAAAACTTCAGACAGTCTTTTGACAATCAGATTGCCCTTGTAGGTATAAAAAAAACGATGTAATATTAACACTCGGCAAATAAAAGTAAATCAGCAGACACGTGTAACAACTACTCGCATATAGACCCATGGCTCAGATGCATTATGCCATTGTGGCAACTAAGCTACCACGGCGGGTAACAAGTTTGCTATAGTCTTGTTTTACTGAAATAGTAAGCCCAGTCAGCTTTCTAGGTTGCCTACTAATTTTTACAGGAGTGCTTGGGAACAATCGGCGCTATACGGTTCAGATTTTTTTACCATCGTTATAGACTTTATGACTATCCGCTAAAAAATGAGGGGCGCAAGTTATGTACTACTGCCCCATTTAAAGGGACACTTAAAGTGCAACAATGAATCAACTTAGATACACAACTCCGCAATGCCACAATCATCACTTTAAGAAGAAGACTGTGAGTTTCATTTTTAATTTCCCACCATCACCTCGGCATGCAGAAATGAGCTTAACATGAGAGATTTCGAAGTGGTCTTTTTTAAACTTGGTCACCACGGGCCAACTAAATTTCTTGAAGCTAAAAAAAATGGAGCCCTTCACCGATTAGAAGGGCAGTTTACTTAATTTTTACTTGTTATTGAGAAGACATCTGGCAAGCGAGAAAATACACAAGAAAACACTGGTAACAATATCCTGCACTATCTTGTAGGAAAGTCGGAGATTTTGACAACATCTACCGGGACCTCTGCGGAAGTTCTTATTAAAGGTAGTTTATACAGACAAGCTCGAGACAGTAAGTGTGCACAGACCTCTTGCTGGACTCTCTCCTTGCTGCCGATGGCTAGCAGGGCATGACTGTCCTCGAGAAGCCGCTGGTGAAGGGCCGCAACATCCACTTTGCGGGGACCACCCAAAGGGTCCCGCTGTTCCAGTGACGACAACAGGGAATCCACTTGCGACACATCCAGCAAATCGAAAGATGTGTCCCGTCTGAAATGCCCGCATTCAAAAACAATCAGCGACGCCCTTCTCCTCTTCACCAACACAGTGTAATGGCAATAACCAGCCCCAGTGCCAACACTGAAACACACTAGTGAAAGAAGGTGTGCAATACCCTGCTGGCAGAGAATCACTGCTGCAGCAATGAAGCCCAACTACTTCAGGGAGAGGCCCCCCCTCCTTTTGAAAAAGGATGTTGTACTTACCTCCATGGCACATTTTTAGCGGGCCACACCTATTTACAAAGTTTCGAAGGAAAATATTAGACGCTTAAGTACCACATGAAGACAAACAAAGCACCCCCAGAGATATGTACCGACTAGCCCAGCAACAAGTTCTAATTTACAACAGTGTTTCGTGTGAAATTCCGCATTATAATGAAGGAGTGAAGACGTTCCTCAAATGTTTAGACAATTTGTGTTATCTTGAATACTATCCCGAGACACCACACTATAAAGGTACTAAGAAATCATGCGCATATTTTAAAGACTCTCAGAACTTTCATTCCTGGAAACTGCTGCAGCAATATTTGGTAGCAGAGAGCAGGCTGAAAAAAGTGGCAAAAGGGGAGGGGGGTTCGTTGAACATGTTATTTGTGGCGCAATGTTTGGAACATGAAGACTGAAAAGGAAGGAAGACGATTCCAGTCTCCATGTTCCAAGCATTGCGCCACAAATCAGCAAACTTACGCACCAACTTGCCAGGAAAAAGTTCTAGGAAGGGGCACTAGCTTAGGAATTTACGATACTGTCCCACTTAAGATCTAGCGGCGAGATGGTGGTATTACACAATCGTAGTTTGCCAATAAACTAAATGTTTATTGCGACACCGTACCACACAATGACATAACAGGGCGGGGGCACTGCGACTTCGGAAAAGATCGCGCAGTCAGACCCATGCACTGACATAATAGGAAGGGGGTGCGCTGCAATGAACCTTTCTTCGCCGTGAAAGGGGAACCTGCGCACGCGTATGCTCACAACAGATCGGGTGTGATGTCACTGCTACTTTCGTCACCCTTCCTACGGAGCTATGACAGTTCTGGATGCACTTGCAATGGGCTTCAGTCGGTAGAATGAACATTTAGGTACACTTTAGAGGTGAATTAAGATATGTTCTAAACGTCTTCAGTGTCCGGCCGTTCGTGTGGAGTGTCTTAGCATACAGAAAAAACCCACAAGAGGCTTGTTTTAGCCTAAAAATTTAATGGTACCACCTCTTTAACCACTACACCACCGTGGTGGGCTTTCCTGCCCTCTTGGTATACTTGCTATGCAAGGCTAGGCTATGCTTCATTTTGCCCTGCTTGTTCTGATCCTGGCTTCGCTTTTCCATCCTCTTACTATGCTATACAAAGCTAAAAGGATATTGTGTTTGGGGAGCAAAGAAGACTAAGAGAGTGTGCCCTCTCATGATGCTGATAGTTTGCTGTAAAACCAACGTAGGCAAGCAAAAGGCTTTATGGCTCTGCAGTGCTAAGAAATGACAAATGAGCATGCCTCTTGACAGCAGGAGTCTGCGAAGGCTGCTTGGTGCCATCCAGCATGCGCAGCAGCCGCCGATCCAGCAGCAGCAACTGCACCAAAGCCTGCCCATGTGAGCGAGGCCCATGCTTGGCTGCCAGGCGCAGCTCGAGTGCCAGCAGCCTCACAAACCAGGCTTGTGCCAGTGGTGGTGGCCACGACGGCAACAGCTCCAAGTGCCGGGTGAAGAAGTCCCTCGACGAGCGCAGGAAGCGCAAAGCCATGTCTCCACCGCATGCAGGCCTAACACACAGCAGCCCACAACAGTTGGTAGCCAAGTGCAAGCAGTGCGCCGCTCCTGTTGTTGCTGCTGCTGCGGTGCGGCGGTGGCCGTTCAAGGAGTGCCAGCAGGGCGTGCAGACAGGTGCGTGCCTGACCTCCTACTCCAGGCTCCTGCAGAGAGGCTGTGCGCTCAGCACCTCCCAGAAGCAGGAGTTGTGCCAAGCCCCAGCCCGGCTGCTCTGTGGATTGCTGCTGTAGGCACACCAACAGAAGCTGCAGCAGCATCCCAGCTGTAGCCGCCCGCACTTCGTCGGGCGTCCAGCTGTCCTCATGGCCAATAGGAAGCTCCAGGCTGGGGACCTGATTTGCGTGCAACAAGATTCAATCTGGCGTATGGCATATTTCTGGAGTGTAAACTCTATCTGATTCAATTTGATTATTCAATCTGAATGTTAGGATAAATCTGATGTGTTCTCTCATTCTTAGAATGTTAAATCACTTTTATGAAACAGAACGTACAAACAAATTACTTCAAATTTGACCAGCTAAAGCAATGTTACATATAGAATGAATTCGGTGATATATTCCATTTTTATCCTCTGTTCAGCGATCTTTTGTTCTTCTTTCTTACTTTTATTCTGAAATAAACTTTAAAATTAATAAATTTGTCTACTGCATAAAGATGCACACAGGATCATGTAACATTCATTCATTGTAGTTTCCCCCCCTCCCTATTTTATTTTACTTTCTGAATGATCATAGTATGCACCCTTATTTCAATTACTTGCATACACATTTGGCATACAAGGTGTTTCAAGAAATAATTCCAATATTCTTAAAAATTCAGGAAAATGCGCTATTTGCTCGCTGCCTTCACAGTTGCTTTTTCTGTAGAGACAGACATCTTAAGACGGTTCAAGACATCATTTGTTACAGCAATTAGAAAAGTTAATTAACTTTTTTATTAGTGGAGTTAAGCAGTTAAGTCAAATGGGAGAATTGAAGCCCTTCATGCAAAGAACCCATTCCAGCTTTGAGATTTCGGAAAAGAGGCCTTTAGTAATATGATTGATTGATATGTGGGGCTTAACGTCCCAAAACCACCATATGATTATGAGAGACACCGTAGTGGAGGGCTCCGGAAATTTTGACCACCTGGGGTTCTTTAACGTGCACCCAAATCTGAGCACACGGGCCTACAACATTTTCGTCTCCATTGGAAATGCAGCCGCCACAGCCGGGATTTGAACCCGCGACCTGCGAATCTGCAGCCGAGTACCTTAGCCACTAGACCGTCGTGGCGGGGCGCCTTTAGTAATATAAGAAAGTGGTTGACTGGGCTAGTTGGTTGTGCATACTTATGCTTAACAGTACTTGTCCCGTCTTTTTTTTTTTTCTGTCCACCATGTCTTATTTTGCACTGTTAACCTTGAATAACTCGTGTAATAACTGCGAATTATAGAAATTATCCCAAATTCTACAGCGAAACCAAAACGCAAAAGAGCACAACTGCTATATTTGTCCGAGATGTTCAAAATGAGAAAGTGGTGTTATATCAACCATCAATCAACTCCGCTGTACAAGTGTGTGGGCTGCGCTTGCAATTACAGCACGCATGACATGCATACGTTAATGAAAGGAAAGAACTGCACCCCTGTAACCCCTGTTCTGAACAGTGACGTCATTGTAGTCATCTGCTTGTTGCGCTCATCGGACCTTTGGTTTTGGTTTCGTTGCAAAATTTAGGAGAATTTAATTAATTTGCAGTAACTACCAGATGCCACTTGTCCGAAATCTCAAAGCACCGACGGGCTGGGCTCTTCGTATGAAGGTGTTCAATTCTTCCATTCGACTTAACTGCCTAACTCCCTAATTAAATATTTCATTAATTTAACTTTCCTAAAAACTGTTCCTAATGCTGTCTTCAACCCTCTTAAGATGCCTGCCGTTACAGAAAAAGCAACTGTGAAAACAGTGAGCAAATAGCACCTTTTGCTGATTTAAAAAAAAAAATTAGATACATTTCTTGAAAACACCATGTATATTCTACTAATGTATTAGCAGTACGTTTGTGGCCAAATACCGACACAAGCTCAAGATAATAGGGGTGAGAGCTTTGTCAAGCTGCCTAAACGCAAATTTTTCTCCCACTCCGCATGATCTATATTGCTCATGAAAATCAACATCTTCATCCATGCCTATAGTACTCTTACAGATATGGTTTTTCTTTATCACCCGTTTTATTTTTACTTCCTTTGGCATCTTTTGGTACATTTATTTGCAGAAAACCCTCTTGTTTTAAGATTCTGTTGCACAGCTGCTATTTAATTAGTTGCTTTTATAGTACATTTTGTATAATACCTTCCTTCACACTATATGTTGCTTTTTTTGTATGTTTTACGATAGTGAGTTTGGCTGCATCTTTTGCACTAAGTGGTATTTCACCTTCTAAAAGGTACCATGTATATCATCTGTGTTACGTATTTGCTATACTGCCCCTTTTATGCAATGTCCCAGGAGGGCCATGTAAGGTACTGATAAAGTATTAAATAAACTTAAGCTAAAAAGCATAAACAACTACTGTAAGGGAGAGCTGGCTGCGAGTGGTTGTTGTGTAATGCACATTCTGCTTATTCAGTTCGGTTATGCTGTAATGGCTTATAAAAAAAAAATGCCTGCCAAGACCTTCTTTGTGATTCATGAGACCCAATCAAAAGAAGTGGCAATGGGGAAGCGCATCACAGAAAGAATGGTTCTCTACCAGCATAGATAAGCGGTTGAAATCATACTGTTTTTGCAAAAGTTTTGTAATGTTATTATATTGCAGATGAATAGTATACAGGAGTGAGTTTGACGTTCCCTCTTAAGTAACAGCGGTGAGGCTACTAAGATGTCAGCACAAGAATTGCCTTAGCTAAGCGCAAGTTCACCACATCCCTATGAGCAAGCGAACAATCATTATAGCTCAAGGCAATTCTTATAGCATGAAGAGTTCAATGCCCCTAGATGGGTCCTGAAGCTTCAGAAACCATGTTGATGCCTTTGGTAATCAACAATCTAGAGAGTGCTAACGTAAACGTAAACGAAGTTTCGGGCAGTGTAAAAAGTTTACTTTACGTAATCAGTGTAAAATTTTTTGTAGCAAAAAAACTTTATATAATTGGCAGTTATAATTAGTGAGGGCAGAAAAATGGAGCTGTAATGACTGCAGCAAGCGATCTAATTTTCCGCTGATTTCTCTATCTGCTGGGTGTTTCTACTACCGGGCTTAAGATACCAGCATCTCAGGAGCAAAACGACTATCACTTTTATGCGGTAAAAAAATTAGAGTTGGCCTGTAAGGGATCATTGGTGCAATGAAAAGCGAGGTTCACTTATAAGTTCAAGGCCTATGGCTCCCTCGCACACCTCTTGGCTCACAAGAAGTTATTGCCCCCTAACGCGAATCATGCTCACCCGAAATAATTTACCAGCTAGTACATAATATGACTTCAATATAAACGAAGCTAAGCACCGACAATTACAGTAAACAAGTGCAGTGTTAACAATGCGTCAACACTGTGGGTGGAGCCGACATCTTTTCTTCTTCTTTTGTAATGATCTTCAGAAACCAGGCGATGGACAAGCCTTTTTTAATGGCACCGTCAAAACTGACATGTTGAGTGACCACTACCATGATCAAAAAGTGCACTTTAACCAAATCTAGTTATTTACAAATCAGTGATTAAGCATGCATTCAAAATGTATGAGTTGTGCATGTGCTGACCTGCTGATAGCCAAGGTGCTAGTTTAGTTAAGTTACATTGATCTCATCACTACAATTCGACACAAGTTGCTAAAATGTGACGCCCACTTTTGAATCAGGAATGAAATGTGTATCAAAGCCAGAAATGTAGCTAGTAGTCAGAGCAAGTGAATGCGAGAAAAGGAACCATATAAGCACCTTCAGTTGTAGAGGAAGTGTTAGCTTTGAGGCACTACCTGTACTGTGATACAACGGGGAGAAATGCTAATGTACTAACAGAAGCCACATTGCATGACTCTGGTTAATTTATCTCATGATCTCAAGTTGCAGATGAGAGTGCTTCAGAACTGGAGCACGGTGCTTGGAATGCAGCAGCAGAATGCGTTCAAAGTATCGTTCTAACAAACCCACTGTGATGCGCATCTCCATAGTGCTCGAAAACAACCAGCAAAATTAGCACTTGGTAATCAAAAAGCAACCATGTGCTCGAAGCAACTTACCTCAATAGCCTCGGCAAAGCCGTGCATGAGGACCTGAACTCTGTCAGCCCGGAAGGCAGCTTCTACTTGGCTAACCAAAGACGGCTGCATGCACAACTGAAGCAAGATGCGTGCCGCAGACAGGGCATGGCGCGGTTGAAGAGCCCCATGGATGACGTAGGTCGCCAGCACACGGCCACAGTCGGGGCGTTGGGTACGTGGGTTAGTGGTGGTCAACAGCAGGCGGTGCAGAGAACACCCTGGACGCTCGCGAAATGGCAAATGCAGAGCTCGTTCAATTAGCTGTAGAGCACACAGGCTGGCCTCTGCAGGGTCTCCCAGCTCACCAGCAGCCTCGTCAAGTAGTTGCAGCAGAAGAGACAGTGCGCCCCCATCTTCGAGGTACTCCAGCAACAAGACTTCCACACAAGGTTTGCCTAGTACTTTCAGACATGCAGCTGCCAGCTGCCACTTCTCTGCGGCATGTCTATAGGCGCGCACATTGAGGCGCAGAAACACAGCATCGCGCACGTGCTCGAGAAAAAGCGTGGCACCAGGCCCTAAAAGATGATCAAGCAGTGCAGCCAGAAGAACCAACAAAGCTGCGGTGATGGGAAATTCTTCATTGCGGCTTTCAACCTCCTCTAGCTCGGCACGCAACCCTTGGAGGCAGGGCATTAGCAGCTGCCAGATGCGTGGTGCCAACTCGGGGGCTGCACCAAAGGCAGCTAAAGCATGAAGTAGAGCCGCCTTCAGTTCTGGAGGCACTGCACATCCTATCAAGCCAGCCAGAAGAGCCAGTGTGCTATGATGTGGGTGATCGGCAAGGGTTAACCTAGCGAGCTCATCGTACTGCACGACAGTCTCTAAAAGCTTGAGCATGGCAACCAGTGCACGGAGTTCAGGAGCCGAAATAGGCTGTGGGGCTCGATATGTCTCTGACGAACCTTCAGGGTGCAAGCAGTTGAAGTACTTGCGCAATGCTCCAAGGAAATTGTCCCATGAGACAGGGCTCCACTGCGAACCCGCCAGATGGCCATTGCTCTTGAGAAGTTGAAAGCAGTGCTGCGCACCAACGCGAGACCGCGACAGGCTGCTCAGGGCTGACACGTAAGGCACAAAAAGTGGTGTTTGAAGTAGGTCACCTGCCAGACGCACAAATTTAGCCAGCTGGCGCCTGTGGCCACCCTCGGGGTTTTCAATCCAGAAGTCCTCTGCCAATTTCAGCTCAAGGGGATCTTGTGCGTACAGCTCGGCAACCATTTCCAGCAGTTGCTCAAAGTGACGCGGTAATTGCACAGGTGGTGGTTGCCCATTCTGAGCGTACGTGCTTATAATGCGTGCTGCCTCATCCCCCTGGTTGCGCAGTTCCTTTAGTTTGAGTGGCATGAGGGCTACGAAGTCCGCTAGAAGATTGTGTACTTTCTTAAGCAAGAACTCCTCGCGGTGCAACAAGGGTGAACGCACCACCAGCTGCCGAAGTGCAGAGAACACCTGGCTATCGATAGCAGTATCCATTAGGCGCTCGTCTTCTTCCAGGCAGACAGTCAGCTCTGGTTCCAAGCCAGCCGCAGCCGGCAGCTGCGACGTGGCCCGCAGACTGAGTGACCAGGCGAACTGCGCGATGCTGAAGAGCGCTTCCTGCTTCCACGCCTGCTGCGGGGCCGTGAACTCGCGATGCAGTGCCAAGGCCAAATCGGCGTCATGTAACAGCGGTGTCGTGTCCAGCGCATAGAGCAGTGCCATCAGCAGCGTGAGCGATACGCTATCGAGCGCGCCGTCGCCAGCGGCTCGCGCTCGCTGGGCCAGGAAGTGCACAATGGCCAGGGTGTCGTTCTTGGAGAGCGGTGTCTGGCAGGCCCAACAGAAGACCACTTCCCCCAGAGACTGCTGCGTCTCCTGGATCATGTCCAGCACCTGCCGACGGTAGCGCGGCGGCCCGAGGGCGCGGTTTCTTTGCAGCATGTCCAGTTCGCGCGCATAGTCAAAGCGATCGAGAAGCTGAAGTGCACGTGCCAGTACTCCGTCCTCATCGCGAAGGCCATTGGTGTACTTGGTGACGGTGGCCAACACGTCGGCGTTCAGCCCGACAGTCCAGGTGCGACCCTCCGTGACCTGAACCAACGTTCGCAGCGCGTTTACCAGAGCACGCCGGCCATCGTAATATAGTAGCACGGCTACAAGACCACGAGTGAGCTCGGGAAATAGCGGCAACTGCTGCTGCGCCGCCAGCACCAGCTCCAAGGAAGCCAGCTCATTGAGCTCAAACATTTCGCTAAGCAGCAACGCCTCACCCACAACATCCTGCGGTAGCAGCTGCAGCGTCGCCTTACCGGACACTGCGATGCCGTCCTGCGGTGCCCGCGACACGGCGTCGCGGTGTTGGGTGCATCGCGATGGGTTAACCAGCAATGCAGCGAAGTCCCGTCGATGACGTCGAAGCGCGGCGACGAAGTCCGCCACGGCCTCGACATCCCTGTGTACGAGCACCGCTTCTACCGCCTGCTGTAGGTCTTTGTATGGCGTCCACAGTGAAGAACAACTCATGTTGACCAAAGGCGCCGTGCTGGACATACTGGTGGCCATTTTGCTGGCGACTGGCCGTAACCAGAAGGTACTGTACAACTTCACGCTTTGGTCAGTTTTGGGCCGTACGCTATCGAACTACTCACATACATGAAGCATCTTCGAACGTGCTACCTGACGCTTGACGCGTGCTTCGAACGGTTGGTTTATTGGCTAGCCGGTTGGCTCACTAGTTGGCTCCTCCACACGCGCTGACTCCGACATTGACTGTAGCCAAGACACGTCTGCTTTTGCATCTAATCCAATCCACAATAAGAGCTTAGGAGGGTCAAGGAGGGCACATCGCAGTTGTGCGTGCTTTTGTCGAGCGAAAAGCATGAACATGTCTCGCGTTTCTCGACTGGCCGTTCTGGCACGGAATTTCACCACGTCAGCGATCCGAAGGAGTGGTCACGATGACCACGATACCAGCGGCATTCCTGGTTCGGTAAGAGACTTCTACCTAAGGATCACCGGCACACGCTCATTGATGTGCCTGCTCCCCCTATTCTTGTTGCAGAACCTGCCCTTCAAGATCAATAACAAGTATGGGCTGACCATCAAGTTTGCCCTCTTTTTTGCAAGTGGCTTCGGGATCCCTTTCTTCGCAGTTCGGCATCAGCTCTTGAAGCAGTGATGTAGTGAGAAATATAGGCAAGTATTGTGGCTTATATCGATTGAACTGGTAGTCGCGCTTTCATATTGTATTGGTAACTGCTTTCGTTTGTCCTTTCAGGGTTCCACTGTGTGAGACAGGCACTAAAACGTTACCTGTCCATATTTGTCGAATAAATTTTGTTGGCTCGAATATTTTTGGCTTCGCAGTCATTCCTTGGCCATGAGGCTCGGCGGGTGCATGGCACATTGTAGGCGGCACATACCCGCTTCCTTTGCACCCACAGTTATGCTTTTCATTAAGTTCATAGCTTTTGATCAGAGATAATTAATGGCGGCGGGTGCCCGCAGATGCGGGTGCTGTGGAAGGTTGCAATTTACCAATCCGTGGTAACGACGGGGTTGATAGGCGGATCATGGGAGACGCCTTTGCCCTGCAGTGGGCGCAGTCAGGCTGATAAGTTGTTTAAATGATGCTCACCGAATGCAAAATAAAGAATAATCCCAATGCGATTGTCAATAACACCACCCAATGACTGCTGATCTTAGCTGCGAACTGGCAACCAGACCGGCTGCACTGGTCCAAAACAGGGCAGATGGCAACCCCAACAACAGTGATTTTTGACAAGGTGAAGGCCTTGCTTACTTCAGGTTGATCATTCCAAATTTATGGCTTTTTCAAGCCAAGAGCTACACTTCCGGATGGCCTCCTTAGCGCCTACTTCACCAAGCCATGACATAAGCAATAAATTATTCTGAAGACAAAAGCCATTCATAGCTTTTATTCCTCATCAACACGTACAAAGCATTTTGGCACTATAGAAATGAAATGTACAAAAACATTTCTATTTAAATGTGTGAGTATGACCAAGCAAAATTTGGCAATGATTTTAGGAGCAAATGATAGATGACCAGAGGAAGCCAAAGAGCAAATATTTTTAATGCATAATCATGTGCAGTACAATCTATTACACAAGAAGTAGTAAACATTAACCATCACAAATTCAATCTATTTAAGTTCACAATTTTGTGCAGGAGTAAGCAACAATCTGTGCATGCCTTCTGTTGCACAGAAGGTTGAAAATTCTTAACTTTATGAAGCCGATACATAACCTTTCATATTCACTTTCCAGTGCACCAATCAAATCAGCTGAGGTCCTATTTATTTGCGAGGCTTCTTGCACATCATTTTGTTCAGAGGGGAAAAAAAAAAGGTTTCACACATGCATAGACAGTCTGATAACTGATTCATATTGCACATCCCATAGTATTTGTACTGTATTGTATCCTGAGTTGTCACTTACCCTGTGTGAGGTATAGTTGGTCAGGTGAAGTGGTGAAAGGAGGCGACATTCAACGAAAAATCAGAAAAAGAAAGCCCTTTGTAAAGTGTCATCACACAGGAATGTTTGCTAGTTATATGGGATGCTTGCATGTCACTGGCAGACTTGCCTTCACCAAGCACATTCCTTCTATGACTGCTGGATACACCTCCTTTCTGAGTAACCTAAAATTGTATTGTCTTTGCAGTGCTTGTAGAGATGGACACCCTCGAGGTGTTTTGTTAGTGCATCTAGACTTGCAAGAGACTAAAGTGCTGATTTAGTTTGCAGGCAAGCATGATGTAGGAGAAACAAGCTGTTGATGGTATGACAGGCCCATCTCATAACAGTTTAAATAAGCAAAACAATTTGCACGAAAACTAAACAGGCATGTTACGTCTTTTAGTAGGAACAGTACGAAGTACAAACCAAACAGACGAGCAGCATCGCATGTCAAACGATCTCGCCATGTTCAGAGCACATGTACACCATTGTTGCATTACTATCACAATGACACTTGTACACCTTGCCGCTCCTCATTTGGGTTCCAGGAAACTTTTAAAGAAATGCCAAGGAACATGCAATGGTGGATCTTTCGTGGCAATGGTTATGCAAATTTGTAGTGGCGTGCCTTCTAAAATCTACTACTAAAGTTCTAGAGCTGTTCTTGCCATAATTTCCCCTTTATCCACAGTAACTGTCCGCTTTGTCACAGAAAGCAGTGCTATAGTACAACTGAGGAGGACTTATGGTGTATCTCGTATAACTTACTGAGCACTGTATAGCGCTAAACATTCAGCCTCCTTATTTCTGAGAACATAGTTATACAGGCACCGGTTACCAAGTGCATCGTTAAACACATGCTCAAGAGCATCGCCACAGTACCTTATCCTGGAAGACGGCAGTTAACCATGTCAGCTATCACTCTTGTGCCATGTACTCAGCACAACACACGCTCTCATGGAATATATATCAACAAGCCCAAGATCCCTACTGTCATAAAACTCTTTGCAAGCTCAGTCAATCGTGGCTCACCTACAAGCTGGATCAGTCATTTGTTTCATTTAGAGAGCAGGAGGAGGAACATCTTGCAGGTAGTAGCATCTTCTTTTCTCTGCATTTTGGGCAATGAAGGTTCAGTGGATGGGCTAGCTCATTTAAGGAGGAGCCAACTGCGGGGCCACACGTGGCTGCAACTGCCGTGTGCGCTCCAGGTCTCGCTGGCGCTGCTGCTCAGCCTGCAAGGCCTCCTTCTGCTTCAGCTGCTGCAGCCGCAAGGCACGCTTGCGCAAGCGGCTACTCCTCTGCTGAAGCTCTGCCATGTCGCGTTTGATGCGCACCAATTTGGCCTGGTACACTCGTGCCCGCTGCAGCTGTTAAACAAGAAAGAACGGCACCGTGGGCGAGCTGGTGATTTTGAATCGGCATACTTGTACAGTGTAAAATTAATGATGACAGATAAAAGGACACAACACGGGCGCCTGTGTACACTTTGCGCTGTGCGAATATGTTGATTGTTGAACAAGGCATACAGTTATTTGCTTGCAAACACTGATCTGTAAGACAGTTCTGCGGCTGTACCATACCCCCCCCCACATTTATTTTTTTGAGCCAGGAATATCACGAGATCACGAGAAGACATATGAGAAATGTTAAGTGACATGGGCATGCAAAGAGGAGCTGATGGGGGCCAAATCTGCCCTATACATCTACTTAGTCAGCCCGTGCCACCGTTGTTTAAAGAGCAGGATTAAGACTTCGCAGGCCTTTGATGATATGGCGATATGGCAAATAATGTCCCTAATTCTGCATTCCAAGAACTATCTACCTCTCATCTTTACTCTTTGAAAGCCAGCGACCAAAGGCAGGCAACTGAGAGAAGGACACTTCTTCACCGTAATTTTTTTTAATCCATTGTAAAGCACTTTGTCTTTTGAACGTGATCAACAGGAGAAGGTAGAAGGGGGGGAAGTGGCGATGAAACTTTGCCTCACACTAAATAAGAAACCCTGCACATGCTGATAGCGAGTCAATTGAAACACCATCTAACAGTGAATAAAACATTTCACTGTTGAGGCGATACTATGGCAGCACACTGCTGGCTAAACAGTTCATTACTTCCCGCACTCGGCTTGCCCAAACCATGATGCACTTTTGAACCCTTTTGAAATAAGGGGCTACAAATTAATTTTTTGATCACTTGAGGTTCTCTAAATGTGCACCTAAGTATGCAAAAGTACACAGACATTTTTCCTCTGAAGCCAAGCCCATGTGAGATGCTGTAGCCATAAGTTGCTGCAGTAGATGTACATGGTAACTAAAAATATTTAAAATGGAAACACTGCTTGAACAGAATATTTAATTTTAATATGATTGGTTTTGTACTTGAATTCAGCAACACTGTTCCTCTCTCAGTAAAGGATAGCTCCTGTTACATAACATATTTTCCTGAAAGAATGTAAAAGTGAGCTTGATGGTGGTGATACAGGATGAAAGTTGATGTGCACGTAAAAAACACATACAGCCATTGCCTCAGTCAAAACAAAGATTACACATAGAATGTAAATTAGTTTATGATAAATACAAAATAAATTCCCTGATTTCCCGGTCCGCTCCCTTGGCTGTCGTTCCCCTGGTGGTAGTCATCCCTTTCTTTTATTCTGTTCTTTTATTTTATGAAAAAAATTGTATATATTTTTTTAATTTTAAAATTTGGCAGCCTGCGATACTTCGGTGCAGCAGGCAGGCCTTAACACTTGATGTTCTTTTAGATAAATTTAAAGTGCCCAACACCACTCTGTACTCCACAGTAAAAAATGGATGTCGGAAAGTTAATTTGTACCGTTTTTCTTACTGTCCTTTTATTAAAGGTGGTATTTTCCCCCTACAATGCAGGAAATCACAATTCTGTGGACATAGAAGTTCGTGGTCAATTCATTCTGTCAACATACACCCATGCTTTCAACCAATTTGCATGTCTTGAATAAGACACATTTAGAGCCTATGTGACTGCTTGCCATGAATTGTACTTCAAATAGTTATGCTATGTACAAGTCTCTGTTCTTATTTCATTATGCGGAGCAGCCAAGAGAGGTTTTTTTTTAATAAATTGCTGGCAGTTCTAAATATTACTCAAATTATTAAGAAACTGTGCAGAATGACACTAACTAAGAAAATGATGTCAGTTAAAGGGGGACATGGTGTGTGGAGATATTTTCTGTATTTGAGGACCAAACATGATGAAAATATACATGCTTATGTAGTTTCTCCTGCTTATTTCTCCTGTTTCTCCTGCTTAGGTCAATTAATTTAGAAGATACACAATACTGCCACTCTATTGTTTTTGGAGACAACAGAAAAAAAGGACTTATCAAAAAGTAAATATTATTGCATAGCTAGACAGTGCAATTAGCAATGAGTGCAATGCTGCAAGCAGATTTAAAATTAAAGAAAAACTAGTGATTCTGCAGATGATGAAAGTTGAGGAGTCATGTCATGGCTATCACACATAAAGAAATTTAATACCTTCTAAATTTATATGGGCAGCAAATGGAAATTCTGCTCTCAGCACTTTGTAATACACAGATTGGGCTTTACATTAATGAAAAAATTATTGCTCTAGCTGTTCGAGATTGCAAGATATCAACCCGACAAACTAGTAAAGTCACCAAAAAGCATGTTTTCAGAAAACTGAGAAAAAGAAATAAACTCATTCATTTACATAACTGCACTTGAAAATGCTCAGTATGCACCGGGCATCTAGTCCTTTTGACTATGAGTCCCTGTGTGGCACTTCTTCAGGGACTGGAGCACGTTCTCCGTTGCTTGTAGCTTCTTGACTGATCCTGCTGTGCGCCGTCAATCCTTTTTAGCCATGCGGCTGCGGCTTTGCCAGCTGGGGTTTAGGCTCAGCTCTTTCATAATGTCCTCTGATGCCTTTTTATTGCCTGCATTGAACTTGAGCACTGCTTCTGCCACAGCTGCCTCCACCGTGAATAGCGAAGCATGTCGCTCATTTGGTGGCAGCGCCCAGATCATTGAATGCAGGCATTCGTTGTTATTTTGGGTTTTCCCTCCCTGGCATCGTTGTAACAGCTTTCTGTCTGACAAGTGCTCATAAATGGGTAGTAAGGCTTGGCAGACATGTGGAGGCAGCTTTCGACGATGTTTGGGAATGGGCTCCCCTTTGGCCTTTGCCGCATTTTGTTTGCACCAGGAATCTAGACCAGGTGGGCACAGAGTGTGCCTTGCCACATCATCATTGGACATGATGTGAAGATAAGTGGCCATCACTGCTGTGTGCATAGCATCAACATCACCACTGTGTGTCTTCAGAGCCCACCCATGATAATTCGTGAGCTTGGAGATCAGGTCTCCTGTCAAGCGGCCCTTTCCACCCAAGACTCTCAAGGCCAGGGCCTTTGTGTTTTGCAATCAAGTTGCACAAAGCAGTGCCCATACGCTTTTGGACATGATTAATGCAGTCCTCTTTTTCCACTGGGATATACCCATAAACCTTATCTTCTTGTAGCGCAAGGTAACTGCGGCTGTCCCCGTCGCAAAGCACCATGGTGTAGCGCAGGCTGTGCGGCTCAAATGACCTCCTGAAGAGGATTAGGGCAGCCTCAACCTCCATTTCCCCAGCTTTCTTGTCACTGTTTTTCTGACACTGGTGATGTTCCTTCCACGCTGCATAGTAAGGGTCACCTTCCTTTGGGCCCGACTCGCATCCAGCACAAAAGTTGCTCAAACAACGAAGTCAAGCACCAGCCCGCTGAACTATTCAATGACGTTACCAAGACCGACATACAACGAACGACCGCGAGTCACCCATGACCCATCAAACGACACCGCAATGTTTCTCATGCAGCCTATATTAAGTTCGGCGTAAAGTTCGCAAACCGACTGCGCGCAGTCGCTCGTCAAATTGCGTGCAGCACGATTGGCCGCGAGTGCCAACTTTGTCTTCTCGTAGTGTTGCCACGTTTTCGTGTGAAGACCCTGACGGCTGATGCCCATCAACGAGAACACATCATTCAACGCGGTCTGTCTGTTCCCCGTTGCCTGCATGGCATGCACGGCCGAAACGTTCACAGCAAAAGATTTCATACGTTCATCACTACGTACGCGCGGCAAGCTCCAAAACGACGCAGTCTCCCCACAGGTCGAACACACAAAACGCAACTTCACGGCCAGTCCGATTTCCCGGTCGTCGCTGTACAATCTGCAGTTCTCCGTTGCATGCCTTGCACTTTGCGAATACCAACAAAGCGCTGTTCACCTGAGTCCAAATCTATAATTGTGAACGTGGTTCCATCAGGTGGCCGAGCTGCTTCGTCGGCACTGTCAACCACGAATGCGCGTTTCCGCTCCGTCGTTGCAGCGGACAGCAACTCCGATAACTTATCTTCGGCTTTAGCTTACTCCTCTTCCAAGTCAGATTGCTGCCGATAGATAGTATCTAGACGCACGCGACCACTGCTCGAAGGCTCCGCGGCTGACGGACTTCGCACAGGCTCCGTGACAACTGATGCGGTAGCTAGGCCCTCCGTGGTAGCGTCGACGACTTCACCATGAGACGCGGAGAGTGTAGCGTCTCAGGGGTTTTGTTGTATCACGGAGCACTTCTTGAAATTCGCTGCTAGCGTTCTTCGCACCTTTTTCGCCCCAAACTTGTGCCGCGTGCGGAATTTGAGCTCAGGATTTGACATCATGAAACTTCTCCGCTGACACTGAGGCAAAATGGCGCGCATGGACGCGTGCCTCTATACCCGAAGCAGACGAAGCCAGGAGCCTCCACCAATAGGGAGGCAAGGTCAAGTCACGTGCGCGAAGTAGCAAATAGGAAGGCGCTCTGATATTTTTTTTTTTTTTTTTTGCCGCTCATTTTACAAGCTGCCAATGGTTGAATTGGACCCATTCTGGCGGGAATTTGAAGGCAAAAGACGGCTCTCTCAAATGAGACCAAGCGGGCCGTGCTGGCACACATGAAAGGGCAGGGGCCTGTCACGGAAAGTATGCGATTTCAACGTCGATTTCGGCTCAAATTTAGCTAGAGGGCTCAGATTTAGCTAGAGAGATAAAGAGTCTTTGTGACTAAAATAATGATATTATAGGCATGAAATTCACAGTACAAGTGCACTAGTAGCTGTAGATTTCGAAAACGCAATGAAAAAGTTTTTTCGCAATTTTTCGGTCTCCACAACCCATGTCCCCCCTTAAGCATTCAATCATCTACGCAAGACGATATTAGACTCCTAGTAGAGAGACACATAAAAGAGCACACATACACACACAGTGCCATTATTGTTATTCCCCTAGAGTGTCTTGAACGGCATCTGAATATCATGTTTAGTAAACAGATGAATACTTAAAAGGAGCAGTGACACCAAATTTTAAACTCGAGATCTGGCGTTCACTCGATTGCTTGTTGCGCATGAGTTTTTTCTGCGAAGTATCAATCGCGTCTGTTACGTAAAAGTTGTTCTATCTTGAGCGCGAAGAGCGTCCAAGGCTTATCGGCACATTCCCGGCCATGAGACAACAACAGTTATTTTGACGTGTTCAGCAAGCTTCTAGGCCATGCCTCAGGAACGGAGAGAAGATGAGCAAGCAGCGTTGACGTCAACAATTTCAGTGTTGTCATTGCGGTGCCTACATGTGGTACTGTCTAGTAGCGATGCCTGGCTGGCTAGCAACAGCTTCACTAGCTTTGTTTCACTTGCTTCGTGCAGTGCATTCGCGTGAATTCAGCGTTTTCGGTGTGCCACATTGGTTGATTTCTCATAGAGTCGTGATTGCGAACGTGATAATTTGAGGCTATGGTCATCAGGAACAAGTAACACACATGTAGCGTTCGTGTGTCTTACCAGCCAGCATGGCCCAGACGTGCGTCTCCAGCTGCCTCGTCACAATTTGGCCTGGCGTCGATTTCAAAATCACTGCTCAGAAGAGGATTGAACCGAAAATGATTTGCACGCCATGAATCATCGCGATTCCATATTCCTCGGTGGTTTTATCGTGGCTTGTGGATGCTGAGGACGACGACGACGACGACAAATGAGGGTGGCGAGACATGCCTATACACATGCATGCCGAGCAGACGAAATGTCAACTGAAAGTCGCGTCACCATTTCATGTGGCCATGTGAGCTGATGGGGCGGGACCACGAAACGTGTCCGCTTGGCAGCATTGAAAATTTGGGGGCTTTCCACCCGTTTTGAATTGGGTTCTATATTGGTCATACTAATCGATATTACACATACTATTTGTCCCTCTGTTACATTGTTAGTACTAAATTGTTACAAGGGGATAGATAACTAGGCATTGCACAAAAACGCGACATATGTCAAGTTGATGTTACTGCTCCTTTAATTATGCTATTTTCACGCATAAGGAAGAATGTGCACACACACTTAAAGGCGCCCTGCAACAGATTTTGAGCATGGTCAGAAAACAATGCCGATCTGTTTTAGGAACTCCCAAGAAGACGCGAGCCAAATAATATGCAGCACGTGGCCTGTAATTCACCACAAATGACCAAAGTCAGCTAAAGAAATTGAGTTCTATCGGCAAATGACGGGGGAAGCTCGAAAATCCCTCGTAGAAGGCCATCTATAGGCCATTGGCTGATTTGAACATGACGTGCATGGTCATTGCATGGATCGCCGCAGGAGGGCGTGCGTGCGTGATCATCCTGAAAGAGCCGCATACTCAAAGAAAAAAAAAGGGCTCAGGGTCACGAAGTGCACGTCACATCTTTTTTTTACGCATGCCATCCCTCCCTTTCCTAGCTTCCAGCGCTTTTGTCAGGACAAGAGAAGAGAGAATGCGACTGCAGCGTGCAACAAATATTTGCAATTCCACTCGTACTGGACAGATTCTTAAAATTTTTGCGACGTTGAATTTGTGAGGCAATAAGCTCTTTCAGTGAATTCTTTTCATGGCTACTTGAAGAATTGTTTCAGAGCCTGTTTAATGCCATTTCTTCCTCGTGAATGTATGAATTAGCAATATCAGAATAATTTCATAAACCACAGCAACTTGCCAAAAAGGAAGCTTTGTTAAGGTACTACTACTACAACTAATAATAATAATAATAATAATAATAATAATAATATAATAAATATTTATTTTGGCATGTGTACACTGTTTTTGATGATTGATATTTGGGGTTTAACGTCCCAAAACCACCATATGATTATGAAAGACGCCGTAGTGGAGGGCTCCGGAAATTTCGACCATCTGGGGTTCTTTAACGTGCACCCAAATCTGAGCACACGGGCCTACAACATTTCCACCTCCATGGGAAATGCAGCCGCCACAGCCGGGATTCGAACCCGCGACCTGCGGGTCAGCAGCCGAGTACCTTAGCCACTATATCACCGCGGCAGGGCCATGAGTACACTGCTGTCCTTTATGAAAGAGAACACGCGAACAGGTGGCCTGCGCTCTGCGGCGGCTGCCTACAGCACCATCAACCGACAGCAAAAGAAAACACGTTCGCTTTCAGTGCCATCTGTTACAAAAAAAAAAATTATCACAAGTTATGGCCGGTAGACAAGCGCTGCTAGATTGCACTCCCTCTCTGCTCAGGCCTGCAGTGCGTAGTCCACTGCCAACATATCAAACATTGTGCGCGACCCCGGCGCAGGCGGCAGTAATCGCCCGATATCGCTTTCCGTGTGAGTGGTGAGGGAACGTAATCTGATAGCGCTTGTTTACCGGCCAGGACTCGTCATCTTACTTGGCCACAGATGACGACAAAAGCGAACGTGTTTTCTTCACTTGTTTGTTGATAATGCTGTAGGCAGCTGCCGCAGAGCGCAGGTCACACGTTCGCTTGTTCCCTTTCATAAAGAACGACAGTGTACGTAGGGCAGCATTACATGCCACCAAGATGAGGCGAAATGAAACAGACGTGTTTCCTGACTAGGCCTACATTCCCGCTCATGAGACAGAGGGAAATAAAAAAAAATCAAGAACAAGGACAACAGTGAGGGTAGCAAAAAAAATTCAAACAGCGAAATTCAAAGGCATTATTGTAAGAAATCATGGAAGACTCACTTCATTCATTTACCTACATTCGGTTCATTAGTTTGAAAGCACCCCATTTTCGAGACATATATTGGGTTCGCATGCACTTTAATAATGGGTTGAAGATAAATAGCCATCCCAATTTGGTGGAATAGTAAAGATGACAGAGGATGACACAGTCACTCCCACTCCAAGACATCTTATTGTGAGCAGCCTAAATAATTTTAAAAGCAGCCACAAAGGAAACCTGCCGACAGACTGAGTTATCATAGTGTGGCTGCTTTGACTGAACCAAAGCCAGTTGACAGCTAATAAAACTGTTTTTCTGTGCAGTGAGCATTATTTTCTGTTGATGGCAGCAGATACATTAGCTTTGCTGCAGTTAGTACCAATGCCAATCATACTGTTAACGGTTTTTAAACAGGTTTTCTAGTTCTGCATTCGTTATACTCTACCAAAATAAATGAGCAGTTTTAATCATTAACAACTTACATGCAGAAGTATACATATCAGTATGAATTTACAGATTTATTTCCGGAAATAGAAGGGTTCTGGGAGATTGACTTAAAGCTGTTGAAAAACCTCTTGCAGCCTGTAATTCCGAGCTGGAATTTCGTTATAGCCAAAATAACATAAAGGCAGCACGACCAGGGAGTCTACTATCACAGACTAGTTGCCACAGTCTGAAAGAACCTGCATGAGAAAAAATGTTGTCATACCACATCATCGAGACTCCCCAAGGCGTCAGCAAAGCGGTTGTTTTCCTGCTGTACTGTGTCCAAGAGCAAGCCCTGGTTGCGCCTGCAAAATAAAGTAATTTTGCCATTTCCCCATTCAATAATCTTTGACGAAGGAATGACCCCAAGCATTCAATACTGCTGTCCAATGATTAATTTCTAAAGCAGTCTGACATCTGTTGTAATGACTCTTGGTCAGCACTAGTCCCCCATTCTAACATGATATCCTAAACTGTCAACAATGCATGGGAAGTCGCAATCCAAACGAGCTGCAGCATTTAGGCTATGGCAAAACGGTAATCACAAGGAAAAAGTGGAGAAAGTGTTGCACTTTTAGCATCCCACATACCCCCTGCTTTTCATCACGTGCTCCTCACGCTTGGCCATCAAAGTATCACAGCAAAGCTTACAGAAAAATCGAATAATTATGAAGCTATGGCAGCACTGCAATGTAACCAAGCATTCGATTGTAAAATCATGGTGCGTCATGAGAAACAGCGGCAAAAAATCATGTGATCAGAGAGTAACCAGAAAGTTTGGGGTTTTCTCTATGAATAATAATTGTTGATTGTTTTATGCCCCAAACACACAATACAATTATGAGATGTCATAGTGGCGAGATCTGGAAATTCCAACAACCTGGGATTTTTACTGTGCAACTAAATCTAAGCACATGAGCCCCTATTATTTCACCTTTATTGAAACATGGCCGCAGTGGGTTAGATTCGATCCTGTGAAGTTTGGGTCATCAGCTGAGCACCATAACCATAGACCACTGCGCTTTGTTGGTGTCTTCTCTGCTAATAGTAGGGTGCCCTAAATATTTGTGCAGAGTTACTCGTTGAAAACATTATTACATGTGCACACAATAATGGCAGCAGTGGGCAGATTGTTGTGCTAACGGCTGCTGAGGCAGTGAATGAGTGAGAGTCCGTCTGGTCGTCTTCGTGGCCACCTTACGACTAAGCTGACTGCTCTTAATTTGTATACCTAGGAGATTTGCATGGCGAAAATGCAATTCAGCTCACTGCATCGTCTCAAATAGGGTGACCACCTTCCTGCTAGCAAAGCAGTGCTCACTGGTTAAGATGGGAGGGGGGGGGGGGGGGGGGGAGAGTGATTGACAGACAGCATGATGAGATATCAAGTAACTTATTTTTCAAGCTTTTGTGCAAACTTTTCTCTAGATATCTCGTAATCTCTGAAAACAGGGAAACAGAGTAACTAATGCAGGTTGAAGTTAAAAAACAATTTCTCGGTTAACAAAGCTATTTTCTGCATATATGTAATGTGCTCCGATATGTAGCACCACACCAAATTTCACAACTAAAGCAAGACTCACTAATAACAAAGCTGTGGCTTTGTTTTGGCACATTACTAAGAACTTGGGAAACACTCGACGCTGTTTGTTTTACTTTCTTGAAGTCGTATTCCTATAGTTGGTGCCAAAAGCACTTCCTGTAACCACGAACTGCATGGCTAACTGACTTTTTGAGAAGCTTGGTACACTTGCAGCTAACACATCCTCAAACAGGATGGCCAGATACCGTTAACGTCAAGACGCTGGCAAACGATATCAGCAAGGTGGTAAATACAGGGCATTTTGTACATTTTTGCATCGCTCACGGGCATGTGCTACTGGAGTTATCACAGCTGGACGGCCACTATGAGCATTAACTGTGGTCGGGCGGACTGTAAGTGACTCAATTATACCTGCATGTTACCTCGAAAGCCATACAAAATTATTGTTTCTGCATTGGCCTCCGATACGTCCTGAAGCCAACAGCTATCTGTAATAGGGCAAATATTTGCATAAAACTCAATCCTTCGCACTCTACAAACATGTCAAATTGAATGTCACAGTAACTTTTGCCTTTGCCTACTGCTGTTTGTATTCTACATACCATGACTTCGCATTGTGTGGATAAGCTGCAACTCCTTGAGCATGGTTCGAACACCACTTATAATGGCAAGTTGAAAGATTCTGCAGGGAACAGCAGCATGCAGTGAGAAGTACTCACGTCAGATCACCTAGGCTTGCTTGCAAGGCGCGAAGTTCGTCAACATGGCCTATCTGCTCCATGGTAGTTGTAGCCATGCTCCTCCAAAGCTCTCACTATAATGCATTTAAGAAATCAACGGACAAAGCCAGGTCACAATTAGTACATTATAGGTGATGTCAACTTAAGGAATAGGCATTATTAACTCCTAGCTGCTGGTTGCAACTTGACCGAATCTTATTTCTGGCATGAAAGAAAGGGAAAACTTAATATCCACTATTTGGGGTTGCCACGATGTCGGTAATCACTCGAAATGGGACGAAGCTTCATGCTACTTTTCCGACTCTGTTTGGTTTACTACACTGCCATTTCACACAAGGATTAATGAAAATACCATTTATCTGATTGAGGCGAGGAACGCTGGGCGCATTTTTATTATTTTTGTTTCTTGCATCGTGCTTTGAGTGAAATGACAGCGCTGTAAACGGAGATATACAGCCATGTGCGAAGTTGGGATGAAACCAGGCACGATTAGATTCTGTTTATCAGTTTACTCGACTCTCTGTACCAAGATATTTCAACCATGCCTAACAATTGGTCTAAGCCAACCTTATGATCACGACTTCGACAGCTTGATAGACTCGACCTGAACAGAGTCGTCCTCGGAAATTTTGACGTCGTCTGTTGAAGCAGAACAATGAATTAAATGAGCAAGTGCGTAGGGCTGCACTAGCATGCACGCACGCAAGACAGCAGTTACAAAGCAGCGGCAATTAACGACCCAGCAGCCAGCACCAATATATGGTTAAAGTTGTCACACGCAGTGGTATGCTTGCTTTCAGACAGGCGTTATTTCAGACAACAACGCACCGTTGATGACACAAAAAAAAAAATAATAATGACCTTGAGCTAGGGAGCAGCGTTTACGAGTGGCCCAGCGGCAATTAGCTGTAATATAGCCGCCTCGTCGAGTTGCGGTGATACACCTGCACCTTGGCAAGAAAACTTGGGGCTGAAGCAGCTGAAGCGCTGCGAACAGCTGCTAAAGTGCATGAACAACACACAGTAGGTCAGCAGAAACAATTTTTGCGCAAAGTGAGAAAACTTAATGCATAAAGTTCTTACAAAAGCTGTTTAGTGGCGCTACCATCGTTAGTGCACAAAATAGTGGTAACATGATTGTGGTGGTGATGGACTGAAGTGTAGTAAAACTAAACCAATTTCAGGTTATATATCCACAGTTATTTTTAGTTTTTTATTGAGTATTTTTGGCTTGAAACAGGTGACATCAACCCATTGCAATATAGCCACAATATCATCATCAAAAGTGCTCATAGCGCCTAATACAAATTTACTGCGACTTCAACGACCGCTCAAAATCACGCAACCAGCTCTCAAATGCACAGATGACGTGCTGGCAAACTCTGACGTGCGTAGCAGCATTACGTGCGGCCAAAAACTTTTGAAGTCTGTAGAATTTCATCCTAAAAGGCGGCTGACGTGGTGAGCAAGAAGGCTGGTGACGCCGCTATGGTGGAACCATAACGCCGCTTTCGAAGAACACAGCCCAGCAAACCAGCGCATAAGCGGGGCTATTTCTTCAGTCGTGGAGAAAATCACCTGCTGCACTTCGGTCATCCGGGAAGGGCTCTGTATTTATATTTCACATGACCTAAACTGGACTAAACATATAAACACTATAATAAGCACGTGTAATTACAAACTCTTTTATCTTAAACAAGCTCTCAAGCTTTACACTCCCGCCGTTCGCTTTACTGCATTCAAGGGGATTGTTCAACCTACTCTAGATTATGCAACAATAATTTGGTACCCTCAGACTAAAACCAATATAAACGAAATGGGAAAAAATTCACAAGACAGCTGTTAGATTTACTTATAACAGTTTCGGCCGTACTGCAATAACAGGTTTATCAGTAAGAGCCAACCTCCCAACTCAAACACACAGAAACAGTGTATTAAGATTGAAGTTTTTGTTTTTGGTTAGTTGAAGATTACTTTAAGGTAGACTTATCACGCATACTTAATTTTTCGACTGGATATGCCACAAGGCGGAGGCACGCGTTCACATTGACGCCATTCACCATCCGTAATAACACATTCAAATATTCTTTTTTCCCCAGGACAATTACCAAATGGAATATTCTTAATGACAATGTGGTTTCGCAGTCATTCTTGAGTTTTTTTTTTTTTTTTTACTACGCCGCTTACACAATAACTGTGTGTTTTATATTACATGAAGTAGTGCTGTGTATTTCAGTCACTGCAGTGTTTATTCTACGCTGGTGGTCATCTTGAATACAGTGCTTATTCAATTTTGTTGGATGCCCTTGTGCCTGTTTATTGCAAATTGTCGAGTTATTTTTTTTTTTTCGTCTTCTCAAAGCCTGACATATTTTGTCTAATTTTTATTATGTTGCCAATTTGTAAACTTAACAAATGTATACCCACTCTGCTAAAACGCTCTTTGCAGGTTGTAGCATAAATAAATAAATAAATAAATAGCTCAAAACGGACAAGTAAAATGTTCGGTATTTATCTCTTCCGGAGGAAGAATTCGAGAAGAGCAATTAATAAGCTTAGTAGTGCAATCTCTGGTGCTACTAAGACCATGACAGGGCCCAGTTGTCATGACATCAGAAATATTCGCGCTGCCAAGTATTGGCGAAGAGCATACAAGCCGGACTACTTAGTTCCCGACAGCTGAGCAAGGTCTCCTAGACCAGTATGGAAACGACGAGGAGCAGCATACAGCGACTTCAGCATATAAAAGAAGCAACCATCAGTTGTGTAGCCAGAAATTTTTTTGCGGAGGAACGGGGAAGGGGGGAAGCAACCATACTTTATGTTCGTGTGTGAGTTTGTGTGTATGCGTGCGCGTATATATACACATGCTAAATTGAAATATTATATGGGGTGTGGGTTGGTTGTTGAAGCCCCCTTCCTGCCCAGACCACTGATAACAAAGATCTCCCTGGCGACTTCTCAAATTTATTAGTCGGTGCTTGGCCCCAATTTTTCACTTGAAACAGAGTGATAAACTCTTCACTTACTTCCCACTTTCCCTCGCTCGCGTGACCTACGCGCAATGTACCGCATCTGTGATCGCTCCCGAGGCTGTTGCCTCTTCGTGAATTTTCATTCTGCCAAGTTTACTGTGATTGTTTTCAGACATCAACACGCAATATATTTTCGACTGCCTGTTTTCGGGCTATTATGTTATGGCACTTCTGATTTCGTACTTGTTTTATATCTGTTCATCCTCATCGTCATCCTGACTACGCCCACTACGGGGCAAAGGCCTCTCCCACGCTCCGCCAACCAACCTGGTCACAAAATTTATTCAGACTGACCTCTCAGCTTTTCTCTCATAATAAACCACTCTCTCGCTCTCTGGGTCTTGCACTTGCTGCTGCCACGTTATGCCAGCTAACTTAATCTCATCTGCCCACCTACTTTTCCGACTTCCCTTCGCGTTTTCGCCTTCTTAAGAAAGTCAGTCAGTTACTCTTAGTAGCCAGTAATTATCTTATTAGGTGCTAGATTCTCCGCCCGTGTCAATTTCTTCACGATTTTGACCAAGATGCCCTTAACACCTGTTTGTTCCCTAACCTACTCAGCTAATTTCTTGTCTTTTAAGGTTACATCTATGGTTTCCCATTTAAATGCTGGCTGCGTTGTCCTCAATTTAAGTTAAACCCTCTTTGTATGTCTCCAAGTCTCTGCTCTGTAAGTAAGCACCGGTAAAATGCGTCTGTTCACCCTACCAGGAAATCTACTAGGCCCTGGCACAACGTTTTCCATTGCACGCCCTTTTCGCATTTTTATATAACGGTCAGTAAGTCGAGTCACGGGAACGATGTTTTCTTAATCTCTTTAGTCAAACTAATGGCACTATTATTAAAGTTTGATCAACCAACAAAAACTACACCAAAGACGAAGTATTCGCGGCAGTAATATCGAGCCATGCTTGAGAGGTCACTTAATACTATTTGGTTCACACGCCGCTGTTTATTTCAAAACAGACGAAGCACAAGACGTCTCTACATATTTTCAGCCGAATATCAGTGAAAGATAAATCAAATACCACAAAATTGAGTTGGCAAACATCTTAGGTGCTATCATAAATTTTTATAGGTGAATCAAGCTTCACCCATGAACAACCAAGTGACCAATCAAGCGAGAAAGTTCGAAAAAAAAATACACGAAAAAAATTATTGCAATTTCCTTCACCTTTTGTAACGAATACGAACAGCACCTCGAACTACCCCTTTCAATATATAAAAGTGTATATTTTGTTTTTCTTTACTTATGAATAGAATGTAATCGGGGGCCTTGCATGTAAAATGTGGTGACCACGGGACAAACCAGCACAGCGTCGCACCTTTGCGATCAGTCACAGCGTTTTTCAGCAGTGATCGATGAATAGCTTTCCCAGCAATCGAAAAGAAATCATAAATATAATATATACTGAAATCAAGCTATTACTCGTGCATTACTCGTGCACTGGTGTTGCGTGGACAGGTGCTAATCCAACACTTTTTCAAGGGCGCCTACATCCTTAAAAAGCCGTTTAAGTTTTCGGCACCTCTTTATTGAAGCCTCCCACTTGCTGTAGGTCGCTCCATCCGCGAGAGAAGCCTTGGCAGAGTCTCGCTCAACTTAAAAGCTCCGGAGAGACTCCAGAGAGTTTCACTTTGCGTCACGTTCAAACAACTTAAAAGCTTCCTGTGGTGTCTGTACTGCTTCCGCCACTTTAAACATGACTTCCTGGCTCGTGTGCTTAGCGTAAGCCTAGTAAAACAAAGAAAAATAAAACGGTCGAGAAAGGAACTGTTGCAAACATAATACATTCTGAAACATCAGGGCATGCATTACGACATCAACGATTCATGTACAATACCAGAGGAGCATACGTCGACCTCTGTTGCAACGTATGTAATACTTGAAGAAACACTTGCGCAAAACTGTTGTGATTTCGTCATCATGTAAATCAGCGAAACCTTGCTATAATACAAAATAATACCCAAAGTCATCACATCTGCTTAATTTACCGTTCTCTCCAAAATACATGCCAGCCTCATTATTCTGATTCAGCATACGCAGAGTTTTTTTTTCCTCCTTGAGCGTGAGTGAGTCTTGAAGCCTTATATTGACATTTAAGAAATTAGTCGAGGAAGTTCACCAGAATGATACAGATGAAGTGTTAAATGAAACGTTATTGGGGAACACAGTCGACAGAGAATAAATAATCGAATAAAAGAAGATGACTTTCACCTTGGAGTGGTCCTTGGCAAATTCATATGTGACTATTGCCTAAAAGGACGAACATAGCACTCAAATATAGGGTTGTGAGTAAGGTACGACATTGTTCCTGTTATAGTAATACTTCTGGTTGCAGAATATTTCTACTACGCATTCCTCCTTGTGCAGTCATTCGTGTATTTTTGTGGTGGTAACAAATGATGCAGATGCACCGCATACGTGCACAACTCTCTTTTGTTTGATCTAACGGACGCTTTAATCACGTGCATTGTTTGTGAATCGTCCAAAATTCCTGTCGAAGGCATGCGAGTAAAGTTGTTCATGCGGATCGATCCGCGACACAACGCAGTCACTCTAAATGCTGTAAAGCGTGCTTTACTGTAAGACAGACAAGATATGTAACAAAGCAATAAGTTGCTTATATATCTCGCACGCAAATGGGAATGAAAGGCAAACTCAATACAACTAGTTCATTATAGACACCTTCCTGTCACGTTCCCAAGTTCTGACCGAATAAGCAGCAAACGCATACGTTTTCCTCGCCCACATTCTTAAGTCGCTTCTTGAAAATCTCGCCCAAGAAAACAAAACGGAAACTATTGATAGTGACTACAGGATAAACATGTGCACGGGCGTGAAATAAGTGCCAACGAAACAATATATTGTCATGTTCACCTCTATGTTCGAAAATAGCAAAAAGTTATTACAAACTTCTTTTTGAATGGGAACTAGTAAATGTTGTAACAGCGGCCGACGAACCTTTTCAATATCGCTGGTTATGATTCTACATTGGTAAGCGCGCGCAAGAGCT